GTTGATGAGATAGGTAAGCTGGGTTCGTTGATGAGATAGGTAAGCTGGGTTCGTTGATGAGATAGGTAAGCTGGGTTCGTTGATGAGATAGGTAAGCTGGGTTCGTTGATGAGATAGGTAAGCTGGGTTCGGTAAAGAGACAGGTGAACAGGAGCGTAGTCGTTGGCAATCGAATGACTGTAAATTAAGTCAGTGGCAATGGTCGTCTAGTTATATAAGTATATATGCAATATAATATGGGATGTAATAACGATATATGATGTGTGCCGTGCAGCCTGTGCTATATATAGCACAGCCTGTGCTGTATATGACATGTAATACACGATACGGTCAACTGTCTTAAAATCTCCTGTGATAGCATCCTTTAATAGCAGCCTGTGCTATATATAGCACAGCCTGTGCTATATATGACATGTAATACACGATGCGGTCAACTGTCTTAAAATCTCGAACGCCCTCAAACCCAAATCCAACGTTAAACCGGACGATTTATTAGGTTCCAACACCATCCGAGATATGTAAGATGCCCCGTATAAACCGAACTTAAAGGACGATACCGAGGTGGTCGGTATTTGGGAGCTGACTGTATATGATATATCAGGAGTGAATAATTCACTCCTTATATATGAAATGACCCACCACGTCTGTATGCCACAGACCTTACCTTAATTGGCGGGTTTTTGGCTCGCTGCGCGTACCTGTGTGGCAGCGACGGGAGGCGCTGTATGCTTTATATAATTGAACGACTTTGGAACGCATAGAAGAATTTATATATATCTAGATTATTATATAATCTACATCTCTATATATATATATGTATTATAAGAGAGGCGAGGCCGATTTTCTGACGATGTAATCTTCGCCGCGGTGAGCATCAAGCCCACGCCACCGATCTCAGTGTATAACCCGTGTGTCGGACACCAACATAGACTTATTCATATTTGTTAAGTCCACCCATATTTGTAGATATAATGACGATAAATAGGCCTTAATACGGGCGATAATTTTATCAGTGGGGGGATGTCAGAAAAGTAGAACAGCCGAATTCCCGCGAATGTAGCCATCTAGCGAACAAAAGCCAAAACTTTGTTAATACCAGGTTAAACTATGCCAAATTTATACCTTGTTTTTTATTATGCACTCAGTTGTCAGTTGAGTCTCAAAAGCAGCACAACACACACTTTTAGTGATTCATTTTTGTTCATTTGTATTTTTAAAATTGTAATTTGCCTGTGTATACATTCGGATATAATGTATAACATGGTATAAAGAATTAAGTTTGTTAAAATCAGGTGCTATTTATCTTTTTGATCATGTCATCTATGGTGACTTCACTGGTGCAGAACTCTGCCAAATTGACCAACTAATTTGGTTAAAATGAGGTGATATCCATACGTTTGGAGAAATATTAACTTTTTAAAATCTGCTCATTATTTTACGATAAAAGTGAGCTTGAACTGATACCGTGCTATATTGAAGGGTTTAGTTTATTGACCTATGTATTTAGTTTAGTTTAGTTTTCATGTATTGTTTTGAGGTGAAAACAGATGTCACCAATTGTGTATTTAAAAAGCGGGACGAGGCTTGCAAAGCCAGAGAGGCATATTCATAATAACTTTCGTATTTATGCTTTCATATTAGGCGCAATTTCATAACAATGTTGTATATATGTTGTATGATGGATGGATGGATGGATTGATGGATGGACGGACGGACGGACGGACGAACGGACGGACGGACGGACGGACGGATAGATGGACGCAAGATAGAGAGAGATAGAGAGGGAGAGACAGAGAGACAAAAAGAAAGACATTTAGAGAAGAGGCAGAAAGGGAAGAGGGGAGAAAGAGAGAGGGTCTGTGTGTGTGTCAGAGAGAGAGAGAAAGACGAGATGTAGTGATAGGCGCAGTATTCACACTGTGACTTATACAGGAGATTATATTAACTCAGCACCGTTGAATCTGTCTCGCCTAGATAAACAAATTAATGAAATTTATGATATGGCGAGCGAGTGGCTCTCGTCATGTCAAGGTGCTTCAGCTCCATATGTTGTCGTAATTCTGATGAGAGCCTGTGGTTGGGCTTCGACGATATTACTCGGCGTGTATTTTCCGTGACATCCTTAGATGTTGCTACTCGTGCCACTCTAAACACACGTGCAAACGTCTGTCAACCCCTGATGGAGTGCATCGTTGCTGTGCATGTACACAGGAACGTTTCAATAGTAAAATGATGGCAAATAAACATGAAATGTATTTAATATACCAAAGTCTTAATGTTTCTCTACTCTCTTTCGCCTATTATTGCCGATAATTTTCTGTGAATGCCGTTCAAATCCTCTTCTGCGACACACAAGTACACCGCACGCACGCCGCTGTGCACAAAACAGCAAGAATATAGAGAACGTGCGTGCGTGCGTGCGTGCGTGCG